GATCATGAACAATCCTGGGCATGACTCCCCTAAAGGATCTTATTTTCTCGGTGATTCGGCCTATCCGACCAGTGCCAATTTGGTTACGCCGTTCCCTAAAAGTGAATGTCTCTGGGATCCCCGCAAGACGTTATTCAAATATTCGCATTCAGCCAGAAGAATGGCCCTTGAAAGAACTTTTGGAAAGTTCGTTCATCGGTGGAGATTCACACAATTCCATATTTACGTGTATAATATTTTGGATATCAATGATATCATCGGTGTCGTATTTGACGCCTAATTCCACGAATACAATTACTCTTATCCTGTCACTCAATTATAATACATATAACCTATGTATTATAAGTACCATATTGCGAATACATTCCTATTGGTACAACACAGTATCAGCTCCCTCATATGTCAAACTGAGATCAGATTTCATAATCGTTCCTGGATTGGTCGAGTAGCTGCCGAATCTTCTAGTTTCTCATAAATTTGTTTTAGTAATCCAATCAAGGACCCTGTCATTGAATGGATAAACTATAATGCTCTAGAAGTGCCGGATATGGGTCAACTAGCTCCATGTATATAACAATAAGCTATGTTTCATATGTAACTGATTTCTAAATCTAATTCTACCATGTCCCAGTTTGCGGGTAAATAGTCAATTCGATCTGCGCAGGAAAAATCTTGAAGTAATATTTGAATATAAAAAGGACCTCTATTTTTATCATGACAAACTCTCAAACTTATAATAAAGGATTATAGAGTCTCATTTCTTTACTTGCTTTATTTTCCCAATTACTTTTCCCTTTTTATTTCTCAATTATCACATTTTTTTAAATGAATTCTCTTAACCTCAACAACTCTGCTGCTTCTGGTGCCTCTGGTTCTGACTCTACTGGTGATTATCCTAACAACTCTGGTTCTGCTGGTAACTCTGCTGGTGCTCAATCCAACCCTGGTTCCCCTGATGTTGTTCCTACCACTGGTACGTCTATCGACGCTGCTGCTGCTGTCGATCTTCCTCAGTCCTCTTTTCAATCGGAGCCTATGGAGATTGATCATCCCGATAAAGTCGAACAATCAAGTTCTTCTTCATCTTTCACTCCTCTTGCAACCACTGATCCAGTCGTTACTCATGTAACTTCTGTACCTATCTCAACCCCTGCTCGTAGCACGTTTGATGAGGACGCCGACCAAGTGTTGACTAGAATCAGTGAGTGTAAGAAACGCATCCATGATCTTTACGAACAGGAAGCTATCGTTATGCGTACCAACACTAGTACCATTCCTGAATTCCAACTTCGTCAGCATAAGATCAATGCTATCGCCCATGACTTGGAGTATTACCGTAACGCTCTCGTTTCTGCCAATACCCTCTTCGCTTCGTTCAAGGATACTTCTGTTAGCCTATTGTCTAATCAGACTCAAGTCCTGTCATTGAATGAAACCCTGTCTGAAACTTCGAAGGAAAAAGACCACTCCGATATCCCCGCCAAGGAAATCCCAGTTTTTGACGTCAAATTTCCCGACCAAGTTACTAACCCGGACATCCATGCCTCTGACGATCACTCCCTCCAAACGTTCATGCGTAAATTTGAACGTACTTATCTCAACTATGGTGTTGATGTTGAGCGTCACTGGTTCTTTCATCTTGAAGCTAGCTTTGAAAACAACAATTCGTACAATTCATGGTTCGTGCAAAACTTCAAATCCTCTTCAAGAAACAAACCAAAGTCATGGACTGAAGCGAAGGCCACTTTGGAGTGTAGATTTGATCCTGTCGCTCGTCTTGGATTAATCAAGGTGAATTTCATGCTCCATAGTATGCGTATGCATTCTTCTGAG